AATGACTACGTCAGCTTCGCCGAGCGGCTAAGGCCGACGCCATTTCTACCACCACCTTACCTGATTTCGACTCCGGCATTTTGCTGGGGGCGGCCAAGAGGGGGGTGATGACTAGGGGGGGGGCTATCATGACGTGGGCCATGATTTCTCTCAAGATTTCATGGCGCCTTTTCTTACTTCAGTACGTCCCCGCCCCCGCCCCCTGCGCCGCGCACGTGCCGCCAGCCATGATTTTCGCCCCCCATTTTTGGTCGCCTCCTCTTGGCCGCCCCCGATATTGTCTGGCGGAGGTCGCTCAGGTGGGCGACGCATCTCTAGCGCGCGGAGTTCTTCGTGCCGCGCGTAGAGGGGTCCACAGAGCCGGATGGCCTGCCTTGTCGGCGGCCGGGTGCTCTAGTGTTAAGTCGGGCCTGTCCCTCTACAGGAGGAGTATTCAAAAATAGCTGCAGAATAGTCGATGGGGTGGTTTTTGGAGCATTTTTCGATTATGACGGATATTTGTTGTCCAGATTTTATTTTTTCGTCCAAAATACCCCTGCCGGGGGGCGCGCCCGACCTAAGGTAGACGCCAGCACCAATATCGGCGGTGTGCCTCCACCGAGGGAGGAAGCTCCCGAGCTCGGTGACGGTGGTAATATTATGGCTCCAAGGTGACCGACGCATTACCATTGGGGCCGACAGATCTAGGACATCGTCTTCCCGCTGTGGAGGCGCACCCCCCGTGCTGGTCTTGGTGCCCCGTTTCCGGGCCTCCGGCGCTGGGGCCTCCTCTGCCGCTCGTGCCAGCCGCTCGCCGACCTCCTCGCCTCGGCCTTCGCCCGGCGCCCGCCGGGCGCCCGTGGTTTCCCGGGGGAGGGGGGCGCGCCGTGCTCGCGTACTTTACCAGTGAATTCACTTGGTTTTAGGGTTTCTAACACATGGTCGCAGCCACGCAGAGGGCGTGCAAAAGCGACGCCCCACATGCTCGGCCTCCAGTACTTCTACGTGGCGGCGCCCCCGCAGGCGCGCAGAGGGCACGCGTGGCGACGGGAGCGTCGCCACGCAGAGCCTCTAAGGACCAAACGTTTTGAAAACCAATTGCTTCCACTACGAAAGCAGCCGGAAAAGGGGCAGGAGGGGGGGGGGGGCAGCCGAGCCGGGCGCGGTGCGCTCGCGCCCCGTTTTGACATCCCACATCCAGCAGTGGCGAAGCGCCCTGGCTAGCCTATAGGCCTACCAAGCAATGTTCCAAGGACCTTTTGCGGTCTGCGCGACATCTTCATAGAGCATGTCTGGTTGGGACTGTCTTGTTTGAGCGCCTCGGGTTTGTGGTATCAGAACATTGTTTCTTGTTCGAACATTTTGGGGTTCTCAGAACATGTCGTGGTAGGCCTACAGGAATGCCGGGACGGTCGGTCCCTGCCCAGCTACAGCCTACCAATGCCGCTCATCCTTTCCCATTGCGTTTTTTTGGCGTGGTTTGATTGTTGTTGTTCTCATGTTCTCTCTTTCTCGCTCTCTCTCTCTCTCTCTCTCTTTAATGTTCTCTCTCTCTCTCTCTCTCTCTCTTCTCTCTTCTCTCTTTTTTGTTTTCTCTCTCTCTCTCTCTCTCCCTCTCTCTGTATCTGTATATTTGTATATGCACATAGTTCATTATGCCGACGGGAAATGATAGTTGGCCGGCCACGCACATTCAAGAGTGCGGACTATACACCAGTCTGAGTTTCTACACGCAATTGCACGCTCCATGCGGGCATCCCCGGCACTTGCCATTGCGAAGAACAGCTGGTCTGGCGGCGAGAGACCTCGCGCGGCCCCTGGCCCACGCTGCCCGCGGCAGCGCGATCTCATTCGCCGAGTTCTCCCAGAGCCGAATTCGACAAGGTCGCGCAGTGCATGAAAACCCGCTTCTGGCATTTTGATGGGGGTGGCCACGAGGGGGGCGATGACTAGGGGGGGGGGATATCATGGCGCGGGCCGTGATTTCTCCCCAGATTTCACGGCGCCTCTTCTTATTTCAGCGCGTCCCCGCCCCCCCCCCCCTGAGCCGCGCGCGCGCCGCCGGCCGCGATTTGCGCAGAGGGGTCCACGGAGCCAGATGGCCTGCCTCGTCGGCGGCCGCGAACTCCAGCGTTAAGTTGGCACTGTCCCGCTACAGGAGGCATATTCAAAATAAGCAACAAAAATAATGTGGGAACGATGTTTTGATTATTTCTGTATATTTTTGGGGGACGTTTTTGATTATTTGAAATTTTCCTGCAAAAAAACCCTTGTATGGGGGACAGGCCCGACCGAACTCCTAGTTTTTCTACATCGCGCCGTTGTTTTGAGGGCGGTCGTGAAGCCGTGGGCGACGAGACTGGACTGTTCGAGGAAGGGTTTCCTCGTGCTGTGCGTGGCGCGGCCCGGGGGCATCGTTGCGGGCTTCGTCGTCGCTGTTGCCCGCGGGTGGAGGCTGCTTGCCCTGGAGGCGCTGCCGCGCGGACGCGGCGAGTGCCGCAGCAGCGAGATCGATGGTACACTGTCAGAGCCCCGAATCATCAGGGGTAACTCGGGTCAGGGCTAACTCGGGTTCCTTTTTCGGGAATCCGAACCCGACTTACCCCGGACCCGAGTTACCCCGGATAATTCGGGCGTCCAGAGCCCCGAATCATCAGGGGTAACTCGGGTCAGGGCTAACTCGGGTTCCTTTTTCGGGAATCCAAGCCCGAGTTGCCCCGGCCCCGAGTTACCCTGGATAATTCGGGCGCCCAACTTTGGAAGCCCTGCATGAGTGCTGCCGCGTGCTTGCCGGCCGCCCCGGCGTGCTGCGGCTCGACGTTCGCGTCGGGCCGCAGCTTCGTGGCGGGCGGCGGCAGCTGGGCGCCGATGGAGGAACGCGCGTCCGTGGGGGCGAACACGTTTTCCACTGCAGCGTTTGGTGCTGCACAGATGGCCTCTTCGAGTTCTTCGACGTTGGCTCTCTCTGTCTCTCTCCCCCTCTGGACTCGTTTTCTTTATTTTGTTGCTTCGTTTCTGATTGTATGCTGTATATAGATATGCGTGTCCGCCGGCGCGTGTAATATCGGGCCTGGAGCTCCAACGACAACCCATCGTGGCGCGCGCAGTCGGAGAAAACGGCGGAGGAGCAGGAAGGGGGGGGATTTCAGGGGAGGGCAAAACCACACAGACACAATGAATCTTCGATTCCCAGGAGCAGATGGGAAACTATGGGAGGTGGTGGGGGGAAAACGAAAACCGAGCAAATATGGGAACATGTACGGAATCCGGGGATGTTTTTTTTGCTGTGTGTGTGTGTGTGTGTGTCCCTGGACCCCTTGAATATGTGGGGGAGGCGAGCTTGGTGCGCCACACGGTGTGGTGACCACACCGCGTGGTGAGTCAGTGGGGCTTGGGGGTCGCCGCGCGGGGTTGGTCCTCGGGTCGTTCTCCGACGTCGCTTCTGGCGACGGGCTTCCGAAGTTCCGAGACCGTGCGTTGACGGACGGCGCGGTGGGGTCTCTTAGGATTTCGAGGTCATCACACACATTTGGCACTTACCCCTCGCACCCATCCCTTCCCAGTGCGCTACAGTCAACCCGCATAGTATGGATGGGCAACCTTCCCAAGGGTACCCTTGCATCCTTGCCTCCTCGGTCTATCATTAGCCGCTTTGGCTGGCCAACCTCTTTCGAAAAACGTTCACGTGGCACTCCAAGGCCCTTGCATCCTTACCGCTCATCCTTGATATACGGGTTGACTGTATTCTGTATCAGCCGACAGGTGTCGCAGTTGACCTGAAACCGCCAAGAGGATCTATCGTGTCATGCGCAATCAGAAAACGGGATCTGCGTACGTGAGAGTTGGAGGCGGAGGAAGAAGAGGAGGAGGAGGAGGAGGAGGAGGACAGAGAGGAGGAGGTTCGGAAAGGTTTTCCTACATGTTCGGCCTCTTGAGTGTCCGCCTCTGGAGGCCCGGGGCCTGCTTCGGGCCCTGGGACTGCACCGTTTTTCTCCAGAACCGAAAACTCTCGAGAGTGGAATCCCGCATGTAGCTGAAGTTGAAGATGGAGTGGACCTCTTGCGTGCCCGGAATGGGGATACAATGTATGGGTACGATGCTCCACAGCAGTGCCTGTTCATCTGGATCAAGATTTGCTGTCATTCGGGGCCCATCGAGCAGCACACTTAATCATTTTGACGGCAAGTCCTGCCATTTTGACAGTGATTGTTGCCCAACTAGGCAAGAAGGGTTGGCAAGGGGTTCGAAGGGCAGCTATTTTGTTCCCCACGAGAAGGGACCTTTGTTGGGCATCGTATCCATACTATCCGTCCTCATTACAGGCGTGCAAATCTCAGACGAGAGCGCGCAGAGGTGACACTGCAGTTCTTATGTATGTTATGTTTGTGTCGTTTTGTGTGAACTATGTTCGTGGGGGACCCTCGTCGCAAGGACGGGCACGCCTCGGGATTCTGCTCAGAGATCACCCCGGGAGAGGGGATCGGTTTGGACGGATGACAGCGCGGGAAGGGAATTCAAGAGTGGGCAAACAACGATGCGCCTCCTCTTTGGCGCCATTTCCCTGCACCATTCGGACGCCCCCCCGTCAATCGCCCCCTGTTGACGTCCACCCGAGCTCAGAGGAGGAAATTGTACCAATACCGTTGCCCTCCCCTCGCCACCTAGGCTGATCAGACCACATCCCAGGAGAGGTCCGTGTTGGAGTAGCGGTACGGGTATCTTACACTTTCTCCATGAACGGCATCGGTGCTTTCCCCTCCTTCCCAGTCGTTCTCCCTGCAGGAACAGCGATAGGGCGGAGATGCTCAGGGGGAGTGCGTCGAGCCCCACACTCCCACTCGGTGCCGATGGCGGTCTGATGGTCCACCCCGCCGATGAACCTGCAGTTGTCCTGTCGGGGCCCCCATCGCCGATCGATCGGGGATGTATCACCCATGAAAGCTTGCTGCTCCCTCCTCCCCTTCGAGCTGGTCCCCCTCAAGTTCCCCCCCACCCCCCCACACCTCCTCTGGCGCCGGCCAGGACAGCGCCGTCAAGGTGGTCGTGGTCCGCGGGCTGGGGGGGATCCTGTGCTCTCCGCACCCAGCCCGTCGCTCCGGCTTCCGGCAGGAAGCCTCGGCACGGGTCGCTTGGGCCCGCAGCGTGTTCCGGAACCCGCGGGCTTCCCAGGCACCCAGACACGCGCCTTTTGATCACAGCGTGAATTACCTACCCCGCTTTCGCTTCCAGGCAAAACCAAGTCATACCACGCGCCTCCTCGTCAAGCAGCCTGACCAGTACAGGCCGTAGTTTGGCATCGTTTGGTATCTCTTGGAAGCGAGGGTGGTCACAAGCGAGGTAGGTTTGTTTTCCCCCTATTTGACGCGTCGCCCGTAAGCGTGCTTGCAGGCTCTCCAGGCATCGCTCGCGGTTGCCGCTGCTGCCGCTGCTGCCCCCCTGCCTCCCCTCCCCTGGCCTTCGCTCCCCCTGGCCTGGCCACGGGGGCGCCCCTCCTCGCGCTCGCACCAGAGAGTGCGATACGAGGAGGAGAAAAACCGAAGAGGAGGAAGGGGAGGGGGAGGAGGAGGAGGAGGAGGAGGAGGAGGAGGAGGAGGAGGAGGAGGAGGAGGAGGAGGAGGAGGAGGATGTGGAGGACACGTACAGGGCGAACCGGGGGACGCGCAGAGTACCCTGCCAGGCAGGAGTTTCGGGGTGGGAGTCGAGATCCAGCGGGCCCGGTCTGTAGACGTAGGGCAGGCGCCTTCTAACAAGGCAGCCTCCTCCTGAGGAGTCTTCGCCCCTCCTCCTACCACCCTGCGCGCGCCGCCAAACACCGCCGCCCTTCGTCCGTTTCCCTGCTGTTCGGCCTCCTGGGAGGCCCTCGTCGCAACCGCTGGATTCGCCTCGAAATCCCGGCCAGCACGCACCCCAGGGGAGGTGTGGGGAGCAGCGGCGTCGGGCACTTTTGGGCTTCCCCAACGAGGCTCCGAGGCGCCAGCGTGTGAGGGGTGTGCCGAGATGGGCGTGGGGGGGGCGCAGGTGGACGGTGGCACTGGGGCCTTCGGTGGAGCTCCCTATGGGGCCGCGCTTCAGAGCGCTCTCGGAGCGTTCGCGAGCGCTCTGGAGCGGTCGCGGCGCCTGGCGGATGCTCCGGAGCCGCCCGATCTCAGAGGCCCCCCAGTCCCTTGGCCTCGTAGGATGTCCAGCCGGCCTTTCTCAGAAGGCCGCAGGCGACATCCATGCACCACCACCGTGGAGGAGAGGGAGGCGGAGGAGGAGGGGAGCGGAGTTGGAGGAGGAGGAGGAGGAGGAGGAGGAGGAGGAGGAGGAGGAGGAGGAGGAGAGTTGGAGGAGGTGGGCACGAGGTGGGGCTTGTCTGGCGTCTGCCGGGCTGGGCCCCACGATGGTGCACATACGGGCCCTGCTGGCCTCGGCCAGGAGGCGTGCGCACGGCCGGGGGGGGTCCGTGCGCAGTGCGGGGGCCCGGGGTGGCCCTGGCCGGGCACGGGGGTGGAGCGCAGAGGCCTCCCGCGCGAGACGGTGTCCCGTGGTCGGTCCTGCGCCGCTCGGGGCGCCACGCTGCCGAGCCCCGGGGGTGGGTGGGTGGGGCGGAGCCCACGGGCGCGCCGCCCCCCCGGCGCCAGGTGCCAGTTCCAGCGGCGGGCAAAAGGGGGGTAGGGGGGAGGGGGGAGGGCTTCTTAGAAGCGGCCTGCTTCTTCGGAGGCCCCGGCCTGACGTCTATAGAGAAGGCCCGCGCCTTCTAAGAAGCAGGGGTGCTTCTAAGAAGCCTTCCCCCCTCCCCCTACCCCCCCTCTGCGCGTTGCCGACATGTGTTGCAGCGCTGGAGGATGTCTGGCGGCGCGCGTAGGGGTCGAGCACAGTCGACCCGCACAGGAAGGATGGGCAACCTTCCCAAGGTACCCTTGCATCATTGCCTTCTCGGTCCATCCTTCGCCGCTTTCGCTGGCCGCGCCCCGCTCCAAAAGCTTCGAAATGGGCGCTCAATGCCCTTGCATCCTTATCGCGCATTCTTACTATACTGGTTGACTGTATCAAGAGGGAACGCAGATCACAGACACAACCAAGTGTCGAGGCCGGGCTGTGACCTCGCGTGCGCTACTTGGCCAATGAAGAAAAGTGCGCGTGGGATGAAGGCAGTTGCAGGAGCTAGCATCGATTCCCAGGAAACTATCGGAACATTTTGGGAAGTGGAGGGGAAGACGGCAATCCATAAAATATGGGAAATTGTTGGCAATCCTGGGATTCGTGTGTATTGGTGTGTGTGTGTGTCCTTGGGCGCGTTCAGAGTAGTCAAGCAGAGGCGAAGCGTCCTGACTCGCCTGTAAGCCCACCAACGAATTTTCTAAGAACCCGTCATGGTTTCCGCGAAATTTTCGTAGAGCATTTCCGGCTGAGCTTAGCTTGTTTTGGTTGGTCGGTGTTATGTTCTAAGTACATTTCATAGGTTTATAGGAATGCCGGGACGTCGGCCCCTGTTCAAGTTGGGGATCGACTACATATTTGATTGACCGCGAAGTTGATCTGTTCGTCGAGTTTGCAAGACATACGTGGGATGTCCGTAGATATGCAATTTCGTGGCCAACCATTTCTCGATCCCCTCGTCGAAAGGGGGGTGGCGCGAGGTGGGGGAGCTTTTCAGAAGGCGGCGGGACTTCTCAGACAGGACCCCTGCCGTCTTAGTTCTCAGAAGCCCATCCCTTCGGCCCCCCTCGCCTCCTCCTCAGAAGCTCATCCCTTCGGCCGCCTTCGCCTCCTACTATCACTTCCGCACCCTCCCTCCCTTCTGCCTCTCCCTCCCTCTCCGCCTGCCCCCCCCCCTCCTCCGACCGCCCTCGGGGCCGGGCACGGTGTCGGAAGGGCCCTCTGCACTTTGTCCTGGCCGGCGGCGGGCCCGTCGAGCCCGCGCTGGTGTTCCTTGCCGCAGTACTCCACAGTTCAGGAGGGGAAAACACACACAGATACAAGTCATCGTCGACTCCCCAGGAAAAGATGGGAAAATATGGGAAGTGGGCGGGAAGACAAAAAAAACACAGAGAATGTGGGGACATATGGGGGATCCAGTTATTTGTGTCTATTTATTAGTGTGTCCCTGGGCCCCTTCAATAGTGCTTACCTCCTCACCGCCTTACGCCCTCCCGCTGTCTGGACCTCCCGCCCTCCTCCCCCCCCATTTCCACGGTGAGCGGGTAGGGGTGACGATGCGACTGAGCTTTCTGAAGGGGCCCTGGGACACACAAATTAAGCATGCACAACTAACCAGACTCCCCATCTGTTCCAGATGTTCGGTTTTCTTTGTCTTCTCCCCCACTTTCCATATTTTCCTATATTTTCGGGGGGATCGACGATTCATTGTGTCTGTGTGTTTTTCTCCCTCCTGATTTTCGAGAAAACGCCGTCGTACTACTGTGTCTGCCAATGCTGCGCCGTTTGCGCCCACAGAGCTCATGTTTGCCCCATTTCGGTGGGTCTCTGAGCTTGGACTTCAAACACACAATCTCTCCCCCATAAGCTCCCCCTGACGCCTCCAGCGACCGAGCGGCGCCCCCTTGCCGCAGGTCTGCCACACGCGAGAGCTGGCCTACCAGATCAAGCACGAGTTCGACCGCTTCGCCAAGTACTTCAAGGCGCCCCCCCCTTGGCCGTCGTCCTCGTTCTCCTCGAACATCTCTGCCTCTCCTTCCTTGAATACGAGTCCTCGTTTGGCCACCAGGCGTGTCGGTAGGGCGGGCCGGGCGTTTCGACTGCGGCCTCCTCACAGTTTATGATCCCGAAGCTGTGCATTTCCCACGGTTGCACGGACGGAGAGCCGGCCGTTTTGGGCAATGGGTTATCGCCTCAGCACCGCGCACATTCATCTGAGGCGCTCGCACCGGTCACGATGATAGGGGGGAATTCGTTTTCCAAATGGAGCTCGCGCCCTGGCGCCGCGCACATTCATCTACCACCGCACCAGGTACAAGGATGGATGGCGTCCCCTCTTCCAAGTGGAGCTCGGACCCCCAGCGCCGCGCGGATTCGTCTTGAAAGCATGCAGTTACAAGGATTGAGGACGACCTTTTCAAAATGGGGTTCTTGCCTGAGACATACTGACGTCCAGCAGTCAGAAGTTTGAGCACATGTCACAGCTGCACGGTTGGAGGGCGAGTCATGTTCAAAATGGGGTACCCGGGGAAGGCTTCCTTCCAGTGCATGGCCAGAGCAATCAGGAGCGGCCGTTCTTCTTCAAACCATGGATCGAGAGCGCTGGCGGCGCGTCACCAGCCGCTCCCGGGGAGTTTGACTCATCTGGTCAGTAGTCTATTGGAGGCAGCCTAAAGCCCCATTGGGGGCTTTTGGGCGCCGTTTGGGCGCCTCTTGGGGTCCTTGTTGGGCCTCTTGGGGGTTTCTTGGAGGCCTGCTGGCGGTCTGGGAGGTCCCGTTGAGGCAGAAAGCTGGAAATGCAATTTCGAGTTCTGGCTCCAGGGGCCGTCGTGGGCCGTCTTCGGCGCGTCTTGGGCCGTCTTGCGGCCGTCTTGGCATGTCTTGGGGCCCTCTTCGGGGTCTCTGGGGCGATCTTGGGGCGATTTTGGGGGCTTGTAGGCACGTCGTGGACGCTCCGAATCCCAAAAGTCGCACATGCTAAACGTACTCATGTTCCTTTAGGAATGGGACGTTTTTTGCCTGTCGGGGCCTTCTGGGGAGGCTTCTTGGGACGTCTTGGGGGCCTCGTGGACCGTCTCAAGGCTATCTTAGGCGTCTTGGGGCGGTCCGTCGGCGACGTGGAGCCTTCTTGGACCCTTTGGGGGTCGTCGTCGGGCTCTTTGGGGTCGTTTGGGGGCCCTTGGGATTTCTTGAAAGCTTCGCCTTGGGGGGGGGGGCTGCGAGGGACCGCCGACAGAGTGGAGGCCTAGAGGAGGGACTTCAGGGAGAGTGTTGCCAGGCTCAAGGCGAATCCTACCAGGCACTCTGTCAGAGTGGTCTCGCACCGCCCACACCCGCAGGGCGGGAGCGGCAGGATCGGGGACGCAGGCGGCGCATCACCGGCCGCTCCCTGGGAGTTTGCCGAAGTGGTGCGCAGCATCGAAAGTCGTGACGTGGCCCGTATGCCAGCTATCAAATGGCTGTCGGCCCATCCCGCGACCGTGCTTCGGTTCGGGGTCGGAGTCCTCATGGACGCTTCTTGGGGTTTCTCGAGAGGGGTCTCGGGGGCCTCTGCGGGGGAGTTTAGGGGCCTCTTGGGGGCCTCCAGATGTGGGGGCCGCTACCGTGTACGCTACCGGTACACAGGAGGGTCAAGCGCGCGGTGATGTGGGCCTTCTACACGGTGCTGGAGCTGAAGCTGGGCGATGGCAGGATCTACACTGACCACAGGCATCATCGAAGGCCTACAGAACGGCGAGCGCTGGTGCCTAAACTGGAAGCGGCCGCATGCGGACATCTGGAAGAGAATCTGGCATCATATTCGTGATACGGATCTAAACGTCAGTGAGGTCTACCACGTCAAGGCGCACAGGTCCAAGGCGAGGGTCGAGCAGCTGGAAGGTAACGAGCTGAAGATCGCGAAGGGCAGCGCCGAGGTAGACTTGCTGGCCAAAGCAGGAGCGGAGATGGACGCTTACTACGGGAAGCAACAAGCGATAGACGACCTTGCGCGCAGAGTACGGTGGGCAGTGCAGTACACCGGCTGGATGCATGAGCAGATGGCGGGAGAATGCCTGACGTCTCGAAGCGAGAACGGGGGCGACCAGTCCACAAACTGGTGAAGCCGCAGATTGCGCTCACGAGGCACGAGGTGCAGGAGGTCAACGGCTGGCTTGTGTGCTTGCGATGTGGGCGTCGAGCGGCCACTAAGAGGATGCGAAAGAAGTTGCGGGAGTCCGACTGCCAGTCACCGCCATGGAGATCGACGGGGTCGAGAGCTGCGGGCTCAGCGAGTTCGCTGGAGGCTTGCGTGGCCATTGCCGTGGCAGCCACCGCCGCAGCAGCAACCGCAGCAGCGGCAGAGGAAGGCCAGCAACTACGGGAGCCAGCAACACCTGAACCAGGAGGTGAAGCACGAGGGCGGGTACATCGTGTGGAAGTACACGGTCCGTACGTGGTGTGTGTGTGGTGTCCGGCGCACATTCGGCGAGGAGGAGAGCGGGCCGTGGGGCAGCATGCCCAGGGCCCTTGGCAAAGCGGGGCCAGAGCTCAAAGGATGACGCCAAGCGCAAGAAACGGGATCGGATCCTTGCAGGCAAGCGCCCGCAGACGGGAAAAACCTTGGATGCCGAACCGCATCTGCCAGTGCGACGTGGGCAAGCACTGGGTGGTGAAGGCGCTGGAGTTCGGGGAGGCCTACGAGGAGGCCTGAGAGCGAGCCTGCTGGCGGGATCCGCTGCAGGTTTGTGGGAGTAAGAAGACTTTTTGGGAGCCTCTTGGGGCCCTCTTGGGGGCTCTTGGGGGCCTCTCGGGGCCTCTCGGGGCCTCTTGGGAGCCTCCTGGGGGCCTCTTAGGTCCTCTTGGGGGCCTCTTGGGACCGAAAGCTCGAAATGTCCGTTCGGGTTCCCCGTCTGGGCCCCCTCCCGTTGCCGTTCTGGGGCCCTCTTGGGCCGTCCAGGGGACCTCCTGGGCCGTCTTGGTGCCCTCATGGGCCGTCTTGGAGCCTCCTTGGGGGCCTCTTGGGCCGTCTTGGGGCGATTTGGGGGGCCTCTTGGGCCGTCTTGGATCAATGATTTTTGCATGTTGGGGCTCTCTTGGGGGTGCTCTTGGAGGCCTCTTGGGGCGTCTTGGAGGCGTCTTGGGCCGTCTGGAGGCCATCTCTGGCGTCTTGGAGCGATCTGGAACCGTCTGGAGGCTCTCTTGGACTGCTCGGAACTCGCAAAGACCGGCTTGGGGCGCTCTTGGGTCGTCTCCGTGGCGTTCCGGACCTTGAAGCCGGGGGGGGGCCGGCGGCAGAAAGGGGCCCCCTTCGGAGGGACTTCCAGGGAGGTTTTCGACCAGGCGCTGGCGAATAGGGCCAAAGACTGCGCCAAACACTCTGTCATGGAGGTCTCGCACGGCCCACGCCGCAGGGCGGGAGCGGCCGGATCTGACAGGGCCTCACCTTCTACCGCCAGCCTCCCCAGGCAGAGCAAGCTCTCGGGAGTACACTGTGGTCACCCCTTGGGCATTCATTGGAGCAGTGGCGAAGCGTCCTGGTTCGCCTATAGGCCTACCAAAGAATGTTTGAATAACTTTTTATAATTTGACGAAATGTTCTTACAACGTTTCTAGTCGAGACTGTCTTGTTAGACACATCGGGTTAATGTTGTAAGAACATGGTTTTGTTATTATAACCTTTGGGTTATATCAAAATTCCGTGGTAGGACTATAGGAATGCCGGGACTGTCGGTCCCTGCTCAATTCATTGGGGTTTGTTGGGCTATCCAGGAAGGTCTTGGGGACATCTTGAGGCCGCAAGGGGACACCCACGGGGCGGTCTTCTGCACAACTTGGGATATTTAGGGGGTCCTGGTGGCCATCGCAGGGGCCTTATGGGCGGCAACGAGAAGTAGCAACTTCGGGACCAGGGTGCATCGTAACATGCCAGGAATCATGGCTTCGCGACTGCGAGAGTGTTGTAATTCGCCCCAAGGCCAACAACTCCGAGCGCGCATCTTGTCAGCACTTGGTAAAGCATTTTTAACCAGAGAGCAAGATTTACATGACAACGTGACTTCGGGACCCCACAAGCGCTGTACTTTAGGAACGATCATGGCCTCGGGAGCCCGCGTGTCGTAATTCGGGATTGTTGCAGACTGACTTCGTGTCCTTTTAAGGCAGGGCGCGTTGTCGGTGTCGCCGCGGACGTTGTCCATTTAATGCAGAAGGCCGCCTGCCTGACAGCGGCCGCTGGCAGTCTTGAGCAACGTTCGCTTTTCGGCATCGTATCCGTTTTTGTCCGTACGCAAATCGGGCGTCCAACGTAATTGTTGACGACGCTGCCGAGCACGGGGCGGCGAGGGGCGAGACCTGGCGGGCGGCGCTCCGTGCCCAGAGAAGTCCTTCTCGGCCGAAGCTGGGCCCGCCCCGGCGGGAGCGGGGCCGCCCCGGAGCTCGATCGGCCCCGCCTCCTCTGGCTCTTCCTTTGATGGGCCTGTTCTCCACCACCACCATGAATTGGTGGGGGATGGGGTCCTCCTCCTGCTCATCTTTTTCCTCCTCCTCCTCCTCCTCCTCCTCCTCCTCGTCCTCCTCCTCCTCCTCCTCCTCCTCTTCGTTCTCTTCCTCCTGGTCCTCCTCCCCCCCTCCATTTTATGGTGGTGGTGGTGGTTGTGGAAAACACCCCCATCATCCTTCTTGGGCAGTGGGAGCGAGCGCTCGCAGCGTCAGTGCGGACCCGTGCGCCGCGGGCCCCCGACGCCCACCCATAGCAGTGGCAAGCGAGGGGAGAGGCAACGACGATCAAGGAGGTCCCGCTTCCTCCGGCGCTCCTCCGCGCCTCCTTCCGCCGCTTTTTCGGGCTTCACAGACCGCCTCCTGGGCCTCCTCCGCCGCGTCGGCCTCTTCCGCCTCGGCTTCCTCCGCCGCCTTCCGCCGCCTCCTCCTCTGACCTCCTCCGTCGCCTCCTCCGATCCGAGAAGTCCGCGCGGAGCTCTGGAAGGCCCCAGACTCCCGGCGCTCCATGTTTCCCGCGCGTGGCCCCCAGAGGTTTGGACCATTCCGGTCCCCGAGGGCCGCTCTCTCTCGTCCCCGAGCCTTCCTCCGACGGCCTCCGGGCCCGGCGAGGGCCCCCTCGGGCCGAGAAACGCCCAGACCCTCCCGCGAATTACGGCCTCGCCCGACTGGGTCTTTTCCCCCCTTCGCGGCAGGACCCGAAGACCAGGGTGGTCTCCAGCAACGCCTCCTCGGCCTCCGCCGCCGCCTCCTCCGCCTCCTCCCTCCTCTCCTCCAGCCCCTCCTCCTCCCCTCCGCCTCCTCCTCCTCCTCCTCCTCCTCCTCCTCCTCGTCCTCCTCCTCCTCCTCCTCCTCCTCCTCTTCCTCCCCCTCCTCCTCCTCTTCCTCCTCCTCCTCCTCCTCCTCCTCCGCCTCCGCCTCCTCCTCCTCCTCCTATCCCCCTCCTCCCCTCTCCCCCCCCCCTCCCCTCCCACCCATCTACCCTTCCCCCTGGCAGGACCTGAAGACCGGGGTGGTGTACGGCGGCACGCCGATCTCGAAGGACAGGGCGATGCTCAAGGACGGCGGCGGCGTCTCCCCGGCGCCTCCGGCCACCCGCTCGCGGGCGCGAGGGGCCTCGTTGGCGCCTGGGCTCGGCGGCCTCCGTTCGGTGTGGTTCGACCTATCTCTAAGTCCCAAATAGCTAGAAAATGCGTAGTCTGGGGACGATGTTTTGAGTATGTTTGTCAAGTTTCGAGTATTTTCTTAGCATGTCTCATTGATCCTCCCAAATCCGCTTGTATAGGGGAACAGGCCCGACCTAAACCGATGTCGGCGGCGCGCCCGGGGGGGGGGGGGGAAACTTCGAGGTTCGAACTTCGAGGTTGGATGCTGCTTTGCATCGTTGCCGGCCTCTGGGGGCCGCTTTCGGGCCACGGGGCTATTTCGGGGGAGCGTAAGACCCGGGTTTGCCAGGACTCGGGTTCGCCATCGTTTTTTGACGACCGCGACTCGGATTTTGACGAGTAGGAGTTTCGTGGGATGTCTGCAGCGGGAGGCCTCGTCAAAATGCAGGCTCGGCCTCGTCATTTTTTTGACGACCTCGTCGGGGATTTCCGAGTCCCCTGTACCCGGGTCTTACGCCCCCCTGACTATTGAGTCTCGATCCGGGGTGAGACACCGTGTCGGATGGACCCCGGGAGGGGTCAGGGGGGAAGTGAGAAGGAGGAGGCCTTCTCAGAAAGCGGCGGGGCTTCCGAGAAGTCCTCCGGTCTTCTGAGAAGCTTTTTTTTGTATATTCGGGGAAGGTTCAGACAATTTTCTAGGCTGGAGGACTTCTGAGCCCTCTGAGAGGGCCCGCGACGATCCTACGTGTCCCCATCCCCACCGGGCCAGGGTATCTCAGCCCCACTTTACCGCCAACCCAGTTGGTCGTGGCCCCTCGAAAATCCGAACGGAACGGCGTTCACCCGCATCCTGGGGGTGGATCGGCCAGTGGGACCCAGGCCACGCCCGTTGGGGTAGGGATCGATTGAACGATGTTCCTCCGTGGCAGACGGGCCAGGCAGGGTCGGGGCGAAGGGGGAGAGGGGCCACGGGAGGGTGGGGAGGGTCAGAAGAGGTACGATACCCCGATGCCGCCTACGCCTCCCTCGTCACAATGGCTGGATTCGCCTCGAAATTCTGGCCAGACGCACCCAAGGAAGCCCGTAGAGTAGCTGTATAGGCCTGTTTGCGTATCTGTTTGTTTCCCCGTAGGGAGGAGGTTGATGCTGAGGCTGAGGCCGAGGCTGAGAGTGATGATGCAATTGTGGAGGAGGAGGAAGAGGACAAGGACAAGGAGGAGGAGGAGGAGGAGCAGGAGGAATGTGAAGGAGGGGGGAAGGACGAGGAAAAAATACAGCAGCAGGAGGAGGAGGAGGAGGGAGAGGGCCAGGAAGAAACATCATCAGCACGATGAGGCGGAGGATATGGAGGGGGTTAGGCTGGATCCAGTCTGGGCATGGAGTTTTCGTCACCAGAGCTCTGAGGTGCAGACGTCCTTTCACCCCCACTCTCCAGCATCCTGCTGTCGACCACATGGACGTACTACCTTCTTTTCTTGCGTCTTGCCCATCTCTCCCTGCTTTCGTTTTCACTGTCTTCTCAATCGTTTTCGTCGATTTGCCCCCGAGACCACAACACGGCATATACATGATTTCCTCGCAGGCCCGCGGATATTTCTTGGATCGGCGCTGGGCCCCCTGGTGGCGCCTCCAGCGCTTTTCCTGGCGCGCTCCGCGCGCCAGAGAGGGGGACGAGCACCGATCTAAGAAATCCGCAGGGACCTCCGAGATAGCGTGTTCATGCCGCTTACTGTCTGTCTACCTTCCCATCTCCCTATTATTTCCCCCTCATCTCCCCTTGCTTTCTTCCCTCTTCCCCCCTCCATGTCCCCCCCTCTCCTCCTCGTCCCTCTCCCTCCCCTCCTCCCCCCCCCCCGTCCTCCTCCTGCTGCTCCTGCTCCTGCTCCCATCGCTCCCTCTCCCGCTCTGCGTCGGCAAGCAAGAAGCAGTGGCTGTGGTCATTTTCTCGTCCCGCAGCGTCGACACGTGAAGCAGGGGAACAAAAAGTCGACACTCAGAGCCCCGAGTCATCAGGGGTAACTCGGGTCCTGGTTAACTCGGGTTCGTTTTTCGGCTCGGCTCCTCCCCCTCCCGCCTCGTTCTCGCCCTCCCCTCCCTGCCCAGGACGCGTGCCCCCACGTCCTCATCGGCACGCCGGGGCGCCTCCTCGGCCTGCTGAGGGAAAAGGAGCGCTCCCCGACAGGAGGAGGATGAGGAGGAGGAGGAGGAGGAGGAGGAGGAGGAGGAGGAGGGGGAGGAGGAGGAGGGCGAGGAGGAGGAGGAGGAGGAGGAGGAGGAGGAGGAGGAAGAGACGGGGAGGAGGAGGAGGGGGAGGAGGAGGAGGAGGAGGAGGAGGAGGAGGAGGAGGAGGAGAGGGAGGAGGGAGGAGGATGGGCGTAGGAGGAGGAGGGCGAGGAGGAGGAGGAGGAGGAGGAGGAGGAGGAGAGGAGGAGGAAGGAGAAGAGGACGGGGAGGAGGAGGAGGGGGAGGAGGAGGAGGAAGAGGAGGAGGAGGAGCGAGGAGGGGAGGAGGAGGAGGGAGGAGGAGGGAACGAGGAGGCGGAGGAGGAGGAGGGAGGAGGAGGAGGAGGGAGGATGAGGAGGAGGGAGGAAGGAAATAAGACGAAGAGGAGAGGAGGTGGAGGATGAGGAGGAGGAGAATATCGAGGAGGAGGAGAAGGATGAGGTGGGGGAGGCGGAGGAGGGAGGACGGGGAGGACGGAGAGGGGGAGGACGGGGAGGGGGAGGAGGAGGGTGAGGATGATGATGATGAGGAGGAGGAGGAGGCGAAGGAGGAGGAGGAGGAGGACGAGGAGGAGGAGGAGGAGGGGGAGGAGGAGGAGGAGGAGGAGGAGGAGGAGGAGGAGGAAGAATACTAA